AAAAAAAAAAAAAAAAAAAAAAAAAAGTACATTTTTTTCCATCTCCTAAGACTTTGTGTGCAGCTGAATTTAAAGGTGATGTGCTAATTGATCTGACAGAGGAAATTTGAAGGCAGCCTAGTATTCAGGTTGTGGCACTGGTACGGATTGCTGCTTTTAGCCAGATTTACATTGAGAATTGGGAGCAAAAAGCAGAGCAGAAAGATTTGAAAAACTTAAATTTTAGCTAGAGAGAACAGGGCCAAAGGGTGTGGTTGCTGAAAAGATACACACCACTAAAAAGAAACCAAGTTCTTTGAACTGGTATAAGAAGAAAAAGGACAGCCTCTTAGAATCAGGTAAGACCCTACTCATCTCAGACTCAAAGATGCAATTTGAGCCAAGATAGAGAATTGGTTCCCCAGGATTCTTTTCACTGTGCTCAGCCATTCCAGCAGTCAGGGGCTGCCATAGCCATAGTGTAAGAGGCCCAAACACTGCTTGTACTAGTGTCAGTCCTTAGTGGCATCTATGTAATGCTGGTTTTAGAGGCATGCAAGAGCTGTGGGCCTTCGCAGAATTCAGAGGAAGTCTGGTAGGCTGCACAGCATGTCCTGAGAAGTAAATGTGTGACACTGGAGATAAAGCCAAAGGTGCAGCAGAGATCCCACGAAGTTAGAGATGGCACAATTTTGGAATACCTGCCAAGGAGAACCACAGGCAGAGAACTAAGCTGGCCTAAGCAAGAGGCCATGCAGGATACAACACAAGGCCATAGGACTGGGGCTGTCTAGATCATCTGGAACTCACATCTTACCACCGTGTGCCCTAGATATGGCCATGGAGCTGGAGAACTTAAATGTTTTCCTCCAGATTTTGGTCTTGCTTTGGTCTGATTCTTTTCTAACAGCTATTCCTCCCTTTTTGACTAGGAATGAGTAGCCTGTGCCATTGTATCTTGGGAATATGTAACTTGGTTGTGTTTTTTTTTGTTTGTTTGTTTTGTTTTAAGAGGGGTTTTCAAGCTAAGTTTTCCTTGAGTCTCACTCAGGGTAGGCTTTGGATGTGGGCTTTTTTGACCAACACTAGAATTGTCGAGACTTTGGAGAGGGATTATTGTATTTTTGGTTGTACCCAGAATAGTTATATTACATTAGGTGGAATTATTACTTGTTATTCTGTTTGTTTGGAGATTAAGTATGATTTAAGGAGATGTGACTAGGTGTCATTTGACAGGAATAGAATTGCGCCAAGTAACCTTAATTATCAACTTGACTGCGTTAAGAGATTCTTAGGTTATTGAATCATGGAGGTGCTATACTTTTGAGGTATTGTCACCACGATGCAGAAAGATTTATGAGAATGCTGTGTACCTCACACAGCTGGAGTATTTCTATTTCCCTTTCCAGCTAACGGCATAGTGAAGCTCATCTCCAGTTTGTGTCATGGTGGTTATAGTCACAGTAGTGCTGCTGCTACTGTAGAAGTTGTTCATGAGTTGTATGATTTGACTTTGGAGGACAGAGCATCTTATCCCAAGTACAGTAAGCCCTTGAATGTGGCTGCCAGACCCATTAATTAGCCATCCCTGTGGGTGACCAGACAGACCCTGAGAACACTGTCACGTTGAGAAGAGGGGGCAAAAAAGTGCTTTGGAGAATGCTGACTTCGCCGTGGATGCTATGCTTGTTGTCCCGACTGCGTGAACTCCAGACTCCTTCAGCTCTGCGCCCTGCTGTAGAACCCTCATCTCCCTTGAGTTAAATATTCAGAACATGCTCCTGGGAGCAATTCTGTCCCTTCCCTTCCTTCTACAGAGGGTGGTTTAGAAAGAGAATTCACTGTTTTTAGGCTGAGTGGCTGGTTTCACTATATTCCCAGTAAGATACATCCTTGATCAAGGACTCAGACTTCCTGTGCAGGTTGGTGTAGATTAACCTATGAAGATGTTAGTTCACTCTTGCTAGATCTTTACTGCTTTTCTTCTGCTTTTCCACCTTCCAAGCAGTCAAAATGGTAGCTCCTTTTCTCATCTCTACTTTTCTTCTACCAGAGGATCCAAACTTACATGGGACTTTGCTGTATTAACTAATGGTAATAACTGTAAAGAATCCTTTAAAAACCTAAACTCCAAAAGTGGCTGTAAATCTGACATTTGCTGGTAAATTTATGAGTTCTATAAAAAAGAAAAATCTGAGATTGGAAATTTAGAGAACTCGAGAAAGCCTTACTCTGTATTTGTCACCTATATAAATAGTAGCGGCTAAATTAAATTGGTTCTTATAGCATTAAAAATACTGAAAAAGAGGGTCACTTATTGAAAAAGTGGTTACTTTTGTCAATAATTGCAAACTTTGTTTAGTTCTTACATGACATTTTCCTGGTCTTTCACCTTGTTAGGAGTTTAGTTTGCAGGAAATGTACTGACTGAAGACTTACTGATTGAGTAAAGGACTGAATGTAAACAACGATTGTTTGTTACTTTTCTTCAAGGATAATCATATTATTATATTAGACTTTCTATAGTTAAAATATAGATTAGGGTAGAGAGATGGGATATTTCCATAGTCTCCAAAGCCTTTTTCCTTAGACACCTTGGTTTCTTCTAGTTTTCAACAAATTACCCTTCTCTCCAGTGAGACATTATTGGCTCAAATGTCTTCAGGCTTTTTGGTTACCAAGAAAATGACTAAGCCCATAAATAGGAATTATTTATAATTAGTTTTCATGGAAGCATAAATGGGCAAGGGTTTCTGATTTCTGTCAAAAGTACTTAACTTCCAACAACTTGAGTCATGATCTAATCTTTGGCACATGGAGATGATTTTCCAGAAGATAGATTTACAAAGTAATGGACTATTTCTGCTTGTGGAAGCACCTTATTTGGCATCAGCAGATCGCTAGGATTCCTTGGAGGGCAGTATGATGTAGAAGAACCTTTGGGTACAGTAACTTTTCTTAACTGGAGCTTTACGCTCACAACTGGTGTACCTTCTTAATCAGTTGTCTTGTTGGGTCCTTCCTGTTGTGGAAAACACATGACATTTGGTTCCTTGCCAGCATTCTTTTCCTAGCTACTCATCAGGCTTAGAGAGTATATCCTCTCTTTTTCCATTCCAGAGCAAACCTGGTCTTTGGAAAATTAGAAGTATTAAGTTTCCAGGGCCCTGAGATTACTTATTTTACTAAGCCCATCTGACCAGTAAAGGAAATCCATGAATGATTGTAATAAATAGTAATCTCACTTTCAGTTTTTGATCTCTGTTAGAGGATAATATTAGCCATATGAGGAGAAGCTTAAACCTTGATGGGTTGTTGGGATGAAGTATGAGTAACCATCGAATTCTGATATTCAGAGTATGGGCATGAATCTTGTTGCCTTGTGCAAATGAATGGTATTACTGGAGCCTGCTGTGAGATTGCTGTAGAGGCTACAGAGCTCTAACCAATAATGTGTCTTTGGCTGAGGTTATTCAGTAATTTGGACCCTAATGAAATAATTGGGAGGGTTTTCTGCTGCTCTGTCTTTAGTAGCACTCACTCTTGGGCTGAGTTATTGCTACCTTATTTTCTCACTTGACAATTACCCATTGGTTACAGGTCATTTTTCCTATTAAAATAGGCACCTAGAAAAGTGGCACCAATATTAGGCAGTTTGGTACAGAAAGAGATTTTAAAGAGTTAAAAAGATATTTCTTCTGACATGGTCATGAAGTTTTTATTATTGCTTCAATAATTTTTGAATTAAAGGAACCAATAATATTTGGCTTTCATTCTATTTGTAGAAATATTGGGGCAAGCAAGAGCTTCTTACACCATTCAGCCCTTCACCTCTTTTATCTGCTACAAAAATCTTCCCCACCCTACCAGGTTGTGGTGCTTTCCTTCTCCCCAGATACTCATTCCTTTGGAGCTCTTTGTACATTCTGTGATGGTCTTTTTACATTGGCTGTGACCAGATCCTCATATATTCTCCCTGTCTTTTCCTTTCCAAGTGCCATATATAGGTTTTGGAGGAAAATGGATGTTTGGGTAACTTCACAGGGGTAGGGTTGAGTCTTTTGGATTTATACTATGGCTTAAAAGAAATGGTCTTACATGGAAGAGGTGCTGTCCAGTTTCAGGTAAATAGTTACCTTCAGGCAATTTGGGCCGCAGGTAAGTATTTTTCCATGGTACAGGATGGTGGGTATATTTTTTAATCAGTCTGTTGGAGTGGTTCATTTTTCAATGCTTTCCTTAGAAGTGTTTTGTAAATTTACCAATATAAAGGCAAGAAATATAGCAAAGCATACAGACCAAATCTATGGACCTGTAGCAGGGTACTGGATGGGTGTGTTTTTATGGCTTATGTAGCAACTTAGTGTTTTCCTGGCACATTATAGGTGCTCAGTTAATGTTTATTGATGCTATTATCAATACTAGTATTGGTTAGAAGTCAATGTGAGAAGTTCATATAGAGATTTCTCAATTGGGTAGAATATATTCTTTAAAATCTTTAATTTTTTATTAATTTAGAGATTTACTTTAAATCTACAAACATGTTATCTCTAGTTGAAATGAGGAATTAATTCATTCTATAGCTTAGTCCTAATATAATGGTGTGACATTAGCAGCTACTTGCACTCTTAGAGGTCAATAAAATAAAACTGTTTCTTTCTCACTAACTTCTTAGGGCATTTTGGAGTACTTTTGTCTACCTTGGACCCATCCCAGCACATCAAGAAGTTAGAAATTAGAACAGGACGGTTGCTAACACATCATTTCATTTCTGTTATATTGTTGCCTTAAATTCAGATTATATAAACTCTTATGTGTATGCATTTAATTTTTTCCTACTTTATTTTAAAATATTGTTGGAGTAGCGCTCCCCTCCTTGAGTGGTGAGATTGATGCAGTCATCCTTGATGGTGCTTAACGTGGGTTTTCCTTTTCTTAATTTCTCTTCATTAAGAGTCTTACTCTCTTGGGGAAAACTGCTTTCCAATTATTTACACAGAGCCATTTTTATTTTCTTGTAGTTGAACTGGCGATGATCATGGACCGTTTGTATGGCGGTGTCTGCTATGCTGGAATTGACACAGACCCAGAGCTGAAGTACCCCAAAGGTGCTGGCCGCGTGGCATTCTCCAATCAGCAGAGTTACATCGCAGCTATCAGCGCGCGCTTTGTGCAGCTTCAACACAACGACATCGACAAACGGGTAAGCAGTTGGGATGGAATTGCTGTGGGAAAGAAATGAAATCTGTTCTGTGAGTCCCTAGGAGAAGAAACGCTTTGTGATCCGCTCTGTCTTGCATGATATTAGTCCGTGATTCCTCCTGGGCTACCTGAAAAGGTGAGCAACCTTCTCGGTATTTAAGGAATTAATGAACCTTCTGCCTTGCCTATTATTTTTAAACTTATGACAGTAAATCTGAAGAATTTAATGTACAGCAAATCAACACTGTTCCAAAGATGATGCATTAAAAAGGTAGAGAACTGATGCCCTGTTTGACTTACGCAGCGCTCTTTAAACAAACTTGGATTAACATCTATATGTTCAGGAGTATAAATAAAATTTAAATTTCTGGATCTTCTTAAAATTGCAACTTTACACATGGTAGTAATCATTGGAATCAAATAGCTGCTGTCCTCTTCAATTTCCTCTTGAACTCCTTGTAGTTTTACTGTTCATGAAATATACACATTTGCATTATGTGCTGTTCTCACTGATGTCACCTGCTGCTGTCGTTTCATTCATCCATAGTATCATGATCTGTAAGGAAGGGGGCTGCTTGTACCAGCTTAATGAGCCATTTTATGGTATTTATATACCCCAATTCGCCCGTTTTTAAAGTACAATTAGATGTTTTTAGTATATTTACATAATTGTGCAACCATCACCACAATTTTAGACTATAGAGGTTTTTTTTTTTTTTAATGGTAGCAAAGTTTTATTAAAGGTAGGAAATAAACAGGCTCTGCAGAGTGAATCCCTGCCAAGCAAAAATAGGAAAAGAAGTACACCCTACAGCGTGAAGGTGGGCCAACACACACAATTGAATAGAGTGGCCTAAGGACCTATTTTAATGCACAACCTTTAAGGGTAAAAAAAGAGGATCATTTGTGCAATGAGAGGATAGTTTGTACAATAAAACGATCATTTATGCAGTAACTATTGCACTGGGGCACATATTGTACTTATCATCTGTGTTCACTCAGCTGATTATGGAGAGAGGACCCTACTTCATCTATGGTCTTCAGAGTCAGAGGAACAAAGCAGCACAGGCTGTTGGAACACTTGTGAATTCTGCTACAGCTGTGATTAGGGTCCCCCCTGTTGTAGAAGCTGATAAACCTGTACACTGAAGAGTAGACTTTTTGCTGTTCCATGTCTAGCCGTAAAGGGAGGACTGAGAGGTACAATGCATGTATAGTGGTAGTTCCTGACCAGCTGCCATGATGGTGATTCTGCCACTGTACCAAGGAGTCTGAATGGGAGTCTGAATGGGAGCAACCATGAAAGGCTGTCAAAGATACAGGATATCTGGTCTGGTCCCACCTGGACATCCAGAATTGCTCCCCCGTTGGTCTCGCCAATTCAGCTTTATACAGTCTCCAACTCATTTTCTACAAGGTAATCAAAGCGATCATTTAAGTGAAATAAATTGAACACACAAGCTTAAATTTCACATATGGTTTGCCTTATATGAGAAACCGAAATTATAAATAGCAAAACGAAAGATAGGTAATGGAATTAGGGAGATAGATCTTTTTCAGATGGAAAGTAGAATAAAGAGATGGAGGAAGAAAGGAGGGAACAAGCCGGGCATGTGGCACACTCCTGTAATCCCAGCACTCAGGAGGCTGAGGCAAGAGGATCGCTGTGAGTTCGAGACCAGCCTGGGCTACATAGTGAGTTCCAGGTCAGTCTCAACTACATAGTGAGACCCTGTCTCGAAAAACCAAAAAGAAAAGAAAGGAGGGAACAGAGGGAAAGGGGTTGAAAAAAGGAATTAAGAGGTATTTTGTATATGTACCAACTCCCCAAGGAATGCAAATATTATGTACTACAAGTACGTACTAATAAAGCCTCAAATGAAAAAGTGAATTTTTTTTGTTGTTGTTCTTCTTTTTGTTTTTTGGAGTCAGGGTCTCACTATGTAGTTCAGACTGGCTTTGAACTCACTCTGTAGCCCAGACTGGCCTCAAATTTGTGGCCTCCTGCCTCAGCCTCCCAAGTGCTGGGATTACAGGCATGCACCACCATGCCTGGCTTAAAATCGTAATTTGAAACAAGTCACTCCTCTCCTTTAAACTTTTGGTTTAGATTCTATTTCAGAAAAGGTCAAGATTCTTAAACTTACCTAAATAACCCTATATGTGCTATGTATGTGTTTCTGCCTTAGTTCTCCATTTTTCCTTCATCATTTTGAGCCAGCCACAGCTGGCATTTTTCTGTTTCCCAGAATCATTCGGCCTGGCTAATACCTACTTTTCCTTTAGGTCTCAACTTGTGTTAATTTTAGGAATCCTTTCTTCATTGGAGCTTATACATCCCTCATAAATCAACATATTGCCATCTACTTTTCCTTTTTTATTTTGTAAAACATTTCTTGGCACATTATAGATATATATAATGATAACATTCGTCGTGGGGCATTTCTACCAGGACATGATGTATCTTGCTTCTTTTTATTCCTCATTCCCCTTCCTTATGTAGAAAAGCTTTGTTTTCATTTTTTCCTTCTATTTTCTCTTTTTTTCTTGTCTCTTCTTTCCCTCTCACCCTCCCTTGTTCCCTTTCTCATTTGAACATTTTATTCCCATTTGCCAGTGTCTACTGTACATTTTAGTCTTATTTCTACTTTTAGTTTCTCACACCAGAGAAACAGTGTGGTATTTAAACATGTGTGTCTAATTTATTTCAATTAACAGTATGGTCTCTAGGTACATCCATTTAGCTATAAATGTTTCTAGCCCATCCTTCTTTATGACAGAGTAGTACTCCATTGTGTAAAAAAACACACCACCTTTATCAATTTGTCATTTGATGAACATGTGGGCTATTTCCAGGATTTAGCTTTTGCAAACTGTACCACTGTAAATATGGGTGGGCATATATTACTGTGGTAGGATGCTTTTAATTCTTTCAGGAAGATACCCAGAAGGGAATAGCTAGGTCAAATGGAACCTCCAGTTTTAGTTCTTTGAGAAGTCTCCACACTGATTTCCACAGTGGTTGCACCAGTCTGCACTCTCACCAACAGGGGATAAGCGTTCCCTCTTTCCCCACAGCCCCTCCAGCATTTGTTATTGGTTGATTTCTTGATAACAGCCATTCTTTCTGGAGTGAGATGGAATCTCAGCATTGTTTTAATCGGCATCTCTCAAGTGACCAGTGATGTTGAACATTTTTTCATATATTTGTTTGCTATTTCTGCTTATTCATCTCAGAAGTGTCTATTGGTTTCAGAAACCCATTGTTGGATTGCATCCATAAATTTGGGGGTCTGCTTTTTTTGAGTTCTTTGTATATTCTAGATAGTAGAGGAACAGCTGGCCAAACTTTTTCCCACACTGTGGGTTGTCTTTTTACTCTGTTGTTGGTTTCTTTTGCTGTGTCAATGCTTTTTAATAAGGTGAGATCCCAGATGTTGATTCTTTGCGATGGTTCCTGTCCCTTTACTTTTCCTTTGTGCCTTTAAATACCACTGCAATGAAATAATGCTTTATTTAATGTTCTTCTACTCTGTTAGAGTATAGTCCAGAAGGGCAGGCACTGTGTGTCTTTCAGATTAGCTACTCAAAATGAAACACATAGTGGACACACATTGATTATTTATTTTTAAATGAATGGCTGAATGCTGACTGAGAAATGGCCAGATGGGAAACCCTTTTCTGGCGACTTTGGGCATCTCCATCTGTCAACCAGCAGGGACTTTGCACAACTTTCTTTTTCTACTTAGTTAATGTTCACTTCAGTAATAAAATGAGTTTTGACTATTTAATATGTAAAAAGTATTCTTTGACGCTTAGAGTACCCTAAAGCAGGACTTACTCTTAAGCCAGCCTCACTCAAGCTTCTTCATTTTGTGGTAGAGGAGAATCTAGGAGATATTTGGAGACTTTCAAATTCCTGTCAAGTAAGGGTAGAACTGCTTCTTTTTTTCTTTTTTCTTTTTTTTTTTTTTGGACTCACTTCCTAAACAGTTCTGCTCTAATGAATCTTCAAACCCACTCCCATGAAATTACCTAGGTTATGAATTTGTTAGATCATCGGTCTTCTATTGAATTTTTTAGTATGTTTAAATATTTCAAATAGCTTTTAAGAACATTCATCACTTGGAGCAAGGTACATCTAGAGTTACGATTTTCTAGTATGAAAGCAGTTTTGAACATTGAAAAATTCTCTTGTGCTTTTGGAAGTAGTTTTGCCTTTTTCTTTTCACTCTTATTTTAGGTCTTCATGTAAAACCTTTCTCAATTGAACATGAACCAATGCTTCTCCCCTGGATTACAGCATTTAGCAAACGTATTTGGTATTTTCGGTATTATGGTGACTTTATTATTGAAAGCTTGTTATTGTATATTACACAGATACAATTCATGCCTCAGTTTCTATTTCCCAGGAAAAATTAACATCGTGAAGTACAGTCAGTTAAGGTCTATATTATCCATATTTTATGGTTTGCCATCAAGGTTATGTGATACTCAGCACAACATTTTTTCTGCCGCAGCATACATGAGGCTATGATACATTCTCAGCGAGGTCAGAGGCTCCCTAGAACGCTACGAGTACTGGTTTGAGAACTCGGGATTCTGAGTCTATTCCTGGCTCTTTTCTCAATCAGGGTGTGACCTTGGGCGAGCTGCTTAGCGTTTTAGAGTCTCCGTTTCATTGTCCTATGATAATAAAAACCACTAGCTTAAGTACCTCACAGTTTATTGCACAGATAAACAATGACAGATGAAGGAGTGCTTTGGGAAGTTATTAAGGCTATACAGATGTTAATTTGTCTTATTGCTGAGTCTGGCCTTCTAAAATTGGGCTGTTGTCTAGCCATATGTCCAAGGATATTGTTGGTTCTTTTTTTATTTTTTAATGCCTGCCCCATCCATTAATATAAGGATAATGAAATGGCTGAAGTTGGCAGATACACACCAAAAGTTAATATAAATCTACCAGCAACATACTACCCGGGTGTTAGTCAAGACAAG